GCATCATCACCGTCGTCATTGTCATCATCATCATTATCGTCTTCGCCGTTGTCGGTGTCGTCGTCATCATCATCACCGTCGTCATCATTATCGTCATTATCGTCGTCACTGACATTATCATCGTCGTCGTGGTTGTCGTCGCCGTCATCATCATCACTATCACCATCGTCATCATCATCAGTATCATCATCATCCTCCTCGTCATCATCATCCTCGTCGTCGTCATCGTCGTCATCATCACCATCACCATCAATACAATCATCATCATCGTCGTCATCATCGTTCTCAACATCATCATCATTATCGTCGTCATCATCGTCGTCATCATCATCGTCATCGTCACCATCATCATCATCCTCGTCGGCGTCATCATCATCAGCATCACCATCATCGTAATCATCATTATCATCATCATTTTCGTCGTTCATCATCGTCATCGTTATTACCATTACCATCGTCATCATCACCGTCATCATCGTCGTCATCATCATCGTCGTCATCATCGTCGCCGCCATCATCGTCATGATCATCATTGTCGTCGTCTTCGTTGCCGTCGTCGTCATTATCCTCATCATCACCATCATCATTATCGTCATCGTCAGCAGCATCATCATCCTCGTCGTCATCATCCTTGTCGGCATCTTCGTCGTCATCAGCATCACCATCATCATTAGTGTCATTGTCATCATCGTCATCATCATCGTCATCATCATCGTTGTCATCATCGTCGTCATCATCGTCATCATCATCAGCATCATCATCGTCGTCATCATCCTCTTCATCGTTATCGTCGTCATAATCATCACCATCATCACCATTATCATTGTCATCATGGTCGTTGTCATCACCGTCATCATCGTCATCATCACCGTCGTCGTCATCATCGTAGTCATCGTCATCATCATCGTCATCGTCGTTGTCGGTGGCGCGTCATCATCATCATCATCATCATCATCATCATCACCATCATCATCATCATCATCATCATCATCATCATCATCATCATCATCATCATCATCTTCACCATCTTCACCATCACCACCGTCACTACCGCCACCATCGTCACCATCGCCATCGGTAGAGACAGCTCGGCGCACCAGTCGGGCGCCTCAGGCGCCGCGCCGAGCCCCGCCTTCTGACTGATCTCTACCCAGTGCTTCCGCACTGCCCGAGGCCAGGGCGGTGGTGGACGCTGCGGAGGGTGCGCTGGTTGCGGCCGTGCCTGCCCCGGGGAAGGGCTGCCCACGCGAGACGCCCACGCCCCCTCGGGGCTCGAGGTGGACAGGCGGTCGGAATGGACCCTCCTCCTGCTCCTCCTCCTCCTCCACTTCATCATCACCCCTCATCCACCTCCTTCATCCATCCTGACATATTCCTCCTCGCTCCCGGCTGGGTCCCGCGGCATGTCTGTTTCAATCCCGGCACTCTTCCGCGGCTGTGCGTCCTCCCCCTCCTTTCCCCCGCGCGGCCGCCTTCGTCTTTTTCCTTCCTCTTGCACGCCGGACAATTCGCACTTCGGTTGCCCCGATTAGCCAAACGTTGGAGCGGACTGCCTCTGCCTCGCCGCCGACGGAAAACGTTTCCATCCCGGCGTTGCTCCTCGATTTCGGCTTATTTCGGACGGAGAGTGGGGAAGGGGTCGGGAGCTCCTGGGCCGCAGATTGCAAAAGGCAATGTCGGAGGATGTCTGGGGATCGGGCCTGTCTGGTGAGTGCGGGGCCTCGTGGCGACTTAGAGGCTTCTTGAGCCGTCTCGAGGCCGTAATGGACAGCTCTGGGGCCATGTTGGGCCGTCTTGGAGGCATCTTGGGCGGCATCGGAACCTCTTGGACCCTCTCAGGCCGTTTTGGAGGCCATCTTGGAACATGTTAGGTCGTTTCGGAGGCCGTCTTGGACCATCTTGCCAATATTGGGGGCGAGTTTTCGGGATTTGGGGGTCCTTCCAGTTGGCTGGAGGGATACACCGAGTCCTCATTGGGAATTGGGATTCTGAAAAAGGGCACTTGTTAGATCAACGCGCGCGCGCACCGCATGCATTATCCGATCCGATCCTTCCACAGGGGAGCTCAATAGGAGATCTGCTGGAGGCCGTTTCTAGGAGGTCTCCTCGTCCTCCTCCTCCTCGTCCTTCTCCCTCCCCTGCCTCCCCAAGAGGGCGGGGCCTAGGGAGGAGGAGGAGCTAAGTAAGTGGACGACGAGGATGAGAATGATGATGATAACGATGAAGATGATGATGATGACGATGACGATGACGATGATGATGATGATGATGAT